AGAGCCCGGGCACCCTCCTGCCCCCCTGCGGCGCTCCCCCCCCCCCCCGCGAAGTGATGTCGAAATAAAAAGCTGCCGCGCTGCGGCCGGGAACCGAGAGGCAGGCAGAACCAAGAGTGGTGGCCAGGCCAGTCGGGCGGTAGCTCACTGCTCAGGTCTCTCTGGCCTGCGATCACCTCAATCATAGCCGGTCTTGGGGCTCATCAGGCGGACAAAAGCGACCGCCTGCGCAGCGGTCTTTCGTTAGGCGCCTCGCCGGGGTCCGGCTGTAGCCGCTGTCGCGTTGGCTCCCACGGGCCGACTAGCCACGCCGAGTTCACCGCTCCCTTTCTGCTGAGCCCTGGCCGCGGCCGCCCGAGGGCGCCGCCCACCGCGCCGCAGTCGGTAAGTTCCTGCATTCCTCCCGCGCTGTCCCGAACCTCCGGATCCCAGGCACGGCCTTCCCAACACCCGGATCGCATGGTCCTACTAGTGGCTCAAACCCAGGTCATCCGGAAACTCAAAGGCCCGCCTGGGGGCTCCAAGCCTTCCGTTCCCCGCCCCCCCCAACCCTGAACCTCGAGACCTGGCTTTCCAGAGCTTTGCGACGCGCCCCCTCCCACCCCAGAGCTGAAGCCTTTGTCTCGGCAGTTCCCCACCCCCGGGTCGCGGCGACCGATGCGCCCAAGCCGGGCCGCCGGTCGCTGGCTGCACCTGCCGGCTGGTCCCGTGCACCGGCTTTGCGCGGCTTAACCCGGCTCGCTCCTGCTTGTGCCCCCACCCCCCGCTCGAAGCGCCCCGCGGCCCTTTATCCTGTGTGGCGAGGGTGCAGGTGGAGGAGAGCACAGGGTGTGTAAGTCTTCCCCTGCCCAAGTCGGAGCCAGAATCCTTTCAGTGGGATTTCAATAAGAACGAAGCGGATGCAGGCTCAGGGATCTGCTGTGGATAGGCATAGACAGAGCTCTGGGCCTGTCTGGACGCAGAGCATTGAACTGTTCGGTGGCGGCTGGGCTTGAACTCAGCTTACCCCAGCGGTGAGGGGAAAGGTCTTGTATTCAGAAGGGCCTCCTGTGTGGCGTCTGCTCCTTTACCAGAAAACAAGGAAAGAAATTCGTTTGTTTTGAAAAAAACAAAAACAAAAACTTGCCTCCCAAGGTCGGGAACATCTGGGGGTTAAGTTCTGGGTCTACACTGAAGCCCAAGTCGGGATTCGTTTATAAGCAGGCAGGATCCGGGAACCAGGTAGAGTCAAAGCGTCTGCCAGGCCTCTGGAGAACGTTTCCCAGTCGGGCTGACAAATTGCAAACAAATTGCATCTAACGAAATGCATTTAGCAGTTGTCAAGCCGCTAACCCCCAGGCTTCTGAGCAAAGCATAGCTGTTAGCGAAGAGGAGCCCCCCACTTGTCTGTGGGTGGGGTATGAAGGCTAGAAGTTGACCAGAAATTTCAGCGTCTAAGGCATTTGGCACCAGAGGTCCAGTCACCTAAGACACTGGGTCCCAGTGTCTGTCATCTCTAAAAGACTCAGAGTAAGATGGCAGATACTAGGGAAGCAGGAATCTTTTGATTTTCCAAGCTGGAAGCAAATTCCAGAGAGCAAGAGGTACTGTTACAGCCCCTCTGAATTGATGGATGCTGCCTGGAACATCTCTGACTTCTCCACAGAGGGGACACTGCCATAGTTGCCAAAGCTTACCCACTTCCATCCTGGTGCTACTCAAAGCTTGTGGATTGTGAATGACTTTGGTTCTGAAGGCAGTCTTAAGCTAGTCCACCCCTTAGGAAAGAATTGGGTTGCAAGGAGAAGGCTAACTTGTGATCCCAGAGGTATGGCTTGGATGTGCAAAGTTTAAACAAAGGGCAAGTGGGGTGGGCAGCACCTATGTGACTGCATCTTCTTTTAGACCGATTTGCAAGAGCCGGGCCACACCCAGAACAGGGCCTGGGTTTACAGAACCCTGCTCCCACTCAGAAGCAACCCCCTGGATTGCCCTCTCTCTACAGAAGATTCCAGATCTCTCTCTCTCTCCTTCTCTCTCTCTCTCTCTCTCTCTCTCTCTCTCTCTCACACACACACACACACACACACACACACACACACACACACACGATGGTTAGAAAATTCAGTTTGGGAACCAAGCTCCTTCTATTCTAGAAATCTTGTTCCCGCGGAAGGAAAAGCAGTTTAGTTCAGAGAAGAGGAGCCCCAGGTGTGCTCCAAAATAAACAACAGCAGCAGCAACAACAAAAAGACAGTGTCTACCTGGAGGTGTTCTGGGGACCTCATAGTAGGGAGCTGTAAACTGGAATAAATCTGCTTTCGTTTTGGGGGCTCAGAGGAGGCTGGGGGAAACCGGATCTAAGCCATGCTGGGATCCATATCGGCCCTCCCTGGTGTTTGTTTGGGCTTTACTAGCGGTTCATTTTCGGCCTACTAGTGGGCTCTTGGCTGTGAATTCATCTGGTTCACACGCGTTCATCAACGCAGGCTCCCCTTTATTCACCAGTTCAGTGCCCTGCTACCTAGCCGGCAATTTTCCCTTTCAGACCGGGTCGTTCCTGCTGGAAAACTGCAGTCCCGCATCGGACGCAGGAGCTCCAACCTCAGCAGGGGCTCGGGCCAGCCGGCTGGTTGCTCGCAGTTTCCAGAAGGCAGCCTCAGGGCCTCAAAGGATGTAGCAGGACCCCCCCCCCCAAGAAAACTCCATGCCCAGTCTGTGGGCAAGCAGGCTGTTGCGGGTCTCTTGAGGCCCTGGCTCAAGCGTCGCTTAACTGCCCGGCTTAGCCCTTGTTGCGTGGCGATTTTCTGAGCTGCTGAGCGGAGTAATAATATCCCCTTCTGCAACCCGCTCTGAGCCAGGCGGGTGGGCAACACTGGAGCTCGCGTTTCGAGTGGGGACCCACCGGGCTGACCACTTTCACCTCTGTGAGAGTCAGGACCTGCCCTGTCCGCGACGTGGCGTGGAAACTGCAATCCCCATCTCGTTCAAATAGGGTGATAATTTTAATTGCCGTTTTGAGACAAAAGAGGGGAATTACCTGCTTTTAGGGGGTGATGTTGGGAGTTCCTCCCCCCCCCGCCTTGCCAGCAGAGGCGCCCACTCGGCAAGGACAGCTTCCTCTGTGCTCCGAGTTCCCCTGGAAGTCTGCAGAGCAGAGGCCTGGGATTTGGCCGGCCGCATGGGGCACGGTTGCCGAGAGTAGGGTTATCGCCGAGGCTGCGAGGCCTTTAGACGTTCCTGCTAGGTTCCAGGGCCATCGAACACTTCTGGAAACTCCATGGCTATCTCGCTTTGCGCGTTAGTGAAGAATCATGGTCTAAAGGCGGGGAGAAACCAAGAAAACGGTCCAGAGAGGGAGCGGGTCCTAGGTGGGAGCGAGAGCTTGGTGACACAGAGACCACCCACCTGCCCAGCCAGCCCCGAGGCACCCCGGCCTAGCGCCCCTGCAGCCCCTCTCGCAGGACCTCCCGCCTAGGCTGTCAGCATACTCCCGAGCCGCCTAGGCCCCTGCTGGCTATAGAGAGCTGAAGCACGGGGAACACGGTGGACAGCAGGGACCCCCCCCAGGGGGCGAGAGATACGGGGTTTCGGTCCAGTGCAGTTCTGCACCCCGGGGCCCAGGGCCTTTACCTGTTCCAAAGCTTCGGACAGTCAGACGGAAGCCAGCCGCAGAGGCCGGATGAGACCCTGTGGTGCGCGCTCCCCCTCAGAGCTGTCCGCAGAGGACGTGGGAGGGGGTGATGGGGGCGCGCCCGCAGAGCTGAGCCGAGCTGGGAGCCCCCCGAGCCGAGGGGACCGAGGGCTTTCCTCCCTCCTTGGATTATTAAAAAGTTCATTTCCTGGCGAATCGGGTGACGTCAGGGGCCCGGCGTCGCGGTGGCGGGGCCGCCGGGCCGGAGAAGCCGCCTCCAGTTACCCAATTACGGACTGTCAATCCTGCCGCCCCTCCCCCATCTTCGGGGGCGGCAGGGACCCCAGCCCTCCCTCTCTCTATTCGAGACTCACCTGGGACCCCTCTAGGATTATTCTCTGGAGGTCTAGGGCCCTGCAAAGATAGAGAGGCTAGGTGGAGGGCGTCGAGCTCGGCCAATCCCTCGCACCTGTCTAGATTCCCCTAAAATCTGTCTGGAAAGCCTCTTTCTGAGTTAAGGTCTCAGGTCTATACCCAGGGAGGGAACTAGATTTGTGTTCCCGAGTTCATTGCCTTGCCAGAATGGAGGTATTGTGAAGAAAACCCCCCAGGTGACTTTAGGAACAAAATGCTCAAAACATTGCTTCCCTCTCCCCAAAGGCCATCCCCGGGACCCCTAGGAGGAAAAAAATATACATAAGGCTAATGCCCTGGGAGTCTCCCTCCAGCCTACTCTGGCGCCAGTCCCTGGCTCCATGGCTTCGCCGCAGGCAGTTTGGCTTGGTGGTCTGCTAAAGCCACGCTCAGAGCCCTTTCCTCTCCCAGGGCCTCTGGCCGGACCACTACTATCCGTCCAGCACAGCCTTAAGCGTCCTAGTACCCAAAGCCCAGTGTCCTAGAGAGCTACACAGTCCTAGACTCGTGCTGTCCAGCCGATCCTACCAGTCCCTTTGCACAAGGAGGCAAAGGTCTGGGGAGTCCGCTGGACTCAGGCTGGTCGTGCCCTGTAGCGAAGGAGGTGGGGCTCCGTCGGAAAGCGTGGAAGGCTGGGGTCCCAGTGAGAGATACCCAGAAGATACGTGTCTCGGCTCCTGAGAAGTCAGGGACCCCATTGGTGGCTAGTTGATGGGAGAGGCTGGAGGACCTAAGAGTCTGCCGAAGGGGTGCAGGATCCTGCCCGAGGCTAGGGTCCCCTGGGGGGGGCGATGGCATCAGAAGCCACCCGGAGGGCGCTGGGAGGGGGCCAGGCGACCGAGGGGGGCCGGCTCGCGGGGTCAGTCCCGAAGTCCAGCGGCCGAAGCTGCGGGCGCAGCCAATGGGGGGGCGGAGGCTGGGCGGCGCGCGGCGCTGATTGGCTGGCGCCAGCTTCTTAGGCGTGCGCGGCCCCCGCTTCATGTCTGTGCAGGAGTCGGCAGCTGGCGCCAGGGCGGCCGGAGGATGCCGAGGGGCCGGAGCCAGGCGGGCCGGAGGCCGAGGCGCGCGCTGTCCCCCACCTCTATCCCGTGAACCCTCCAGTTTCTAGGCGCGCTGTTGCGGAACCCGCGGTTCTAGGAGCTCTCCTAGTGTCCCTTACTCTCCACTGCTGAGCCCTCCCCTTCGCGCGCCGGCTGCGAGTGTAAGTTTGAGGACCAGGGGGCTTTTGTGGGCACTCCTAAGTGGAGGGATCTCTGTGGAACTCAGGTCAGGATCTCACGTGGGCGGTTACGTTCTTATACCTTGGGGAGAGGTCTGGCTGAACTGCTGGAGAGGGCATTGGGGGCCGGCTCTCAGTCCCAGGAACTACGTGTGCGTGTTCGTGTTTGGGGTGGGGGTGTCGAGGCATATACATACATATATATATGTATATGTCTCCAGTGTATGTGAAGGGGGGGCTGTGTGCCCCAGAATGGATGTCCAGACTAACTTTGAAGAGTTCGTGTGTTTGTGTGCCCAGAGGACAGGGGCTCGGTGTGAGAACCCGATTTCAGTTCCGCGTGCGTTTGTTTGGGATCGCCGGTGTCAGGTTCCATCCCTGTATGTGACCTCGTGTGCTTGGGTGTGTGGCTGTGGGAACGCGAGTTTCCCTGCGAGTGTGTGAGGCTGAACCCCTTCTCCACCTTCCTTTCGTTTTGAACCTTGCGCTTTCCTCCCACCCGGGACTGCACCTTAGTGGACCTGCGCTGGAACGCCTTTGCTCTCAAGACACCGACTTTGGGAGGGGGGTGTCAGAGGCCGGCAGTGCCCCCTCACATTCCCTATGTCACTTAGGTCCGCCCCGCCTTCGCCTGGATCCCCAGCCACAGTAGCGGACCATGGAGGTGGCGCCGGAGCAGCCTCGCTGGATGGCGCACCCCGCCGTATTGAATGCTCAGCACCCCGACTCGCACCACCCGGGCCTGGCGCACAATTACATGGAGCCAGCTCAGCTGCTGCCTCCCGACGAAGTGGATGTCTTCTTTAACCATCTCGACTCGCAGGGCAACCCCTACTACGCCAACCCGGCCCACGCGCGCGCGCGCGTTTCCTACAGCCCGGCGCACGGTGAGCTTCGACCCTCCGGGTTTCTGCAAGCCCGGCGCCCACGCCAGACCTTGGAGGGGAGGACAGCCCGCTGCTGCTTCCCGGATGTGGGATCCACAGGAATCTGAGCAGCTGCGAAATCGGGCTGGGGAAGGTGGAGGCAGTGACCTCTTGGGGAAGGTCTGAGACCTGTAGGGTTTTTGTCCATTTCCAACTGTCTTGGGGGAATCCTTCAGGGCCCTGTCTGGTGGGGGTTGCTCTGTGTCACTTGTCCTTCGGTCTTCCACTGACAGGCTGGACTGTTACTGTTTCTGGTGTTTTAAAGGGTGGGGCTGCTGATGGTTGTTCCCTGAGTTGTGATGATCCTCTGTGCCTGTGTCATGGCTCTGAGGCTCCTGTCCAAACTCATCCCTTCTCCTTCCGCTGCAGCTCGTCTCACAGGAGGCCAGATGTGCCGACCACACTTGTTGCACAGCCCAGGGTTGCCATGGCTGGACGGGGGCAAAGCTGCTCTCTCTGCCGCCGCTGCCCATCACCACAGCCCCTGGACCGTCAGCCCGTTTTCCAAGACCCCGCTGCACCCCTCAGCTGCTGGAGCACCCGGAGGGCCTCTGTCTGTGTACCCAGGGGCTGCGGGTGGGAGCGGGGGAGGCAGTGGGAGCTCAGTGGCCTCCCTCACGCCCACTGCGGCCCACTCTGGCTCCCATCTCTTCGGCTTCCCACCCACACCCCCAAAAGAAGTGTCTCCAGACCCCAGCACCACAGGAGCCGCTTCCCCAGCCTCCTCTTCTGCTGGAGGGAGTGTAGCCAGGGGTGAGGACAAGGATGGCGTCAAGTACCAAGTGTCACTGTCTGAGAGCATGAAGATGGAAGGCGGCAGTCCCCTACGCCCAGGCCTGGCTACAATGGGCACTCAGCCTGCAACACACCACCCAATACCTACCTATCCCTCCTATGTGCCCGCCTCAGCTCATGACTATGGCAGTGGGCTCTTCCATCCTGGAGGCTTCCTGGGTGGTCCAGCCTCCAGCTTTACCCCTAAGCAGCGAAGCAAGGCCCGCTCTTGCTCAGGTAAAGACCATTGTGGGACTTCAGGGCCTGTGGGTGGGGCGTGCCTCTGTAGAGGGGGTTGTGATCTGAAGCGGGGCCACATTAGTGCACCTGCTTCAAGAATTGGGTGGCAGTCCTCTGCCAGTTCACAGGTGTGGGGAGGAAGGACCCTTAAAACTTTCATCCTAGCTGGGCGTTGGTGGCACACGCCTTTAATCCCAGCCAGCACTCCAGCACTCGAGAGGCAGAGGCAGGCAAACTCTTGAGTTGGAGGCCAGCCTGGTCTACAGAGCTAGTTCCAGGACAGACTCCAAAGCAATACAGAGAAAGCCTGCCTCGAAAAAACAGAACAAACAAAAACCTTTCATCCTGTCCCTGAGTGCTCCCAGCACCCCAATGTTCAGTTCCTTTCCTCTCCCTCACTATGACCTTCTCTCCAAGGTTGGTATCAGTCCACACTCAGAATGTGGTTCCCATCCCCTCCCCAAAAATGCTCAGCTGAAACTGGGCAGCCTCATGACAGAGTGTGGGGGAGAATGCAGGGTGTAGGTGAGGGAAGGAGTCAGTGTGTACATGTGTGTACGTGTATCTGTGAGCGTGTGTGCATGCTGCGGGCACTGCAGAGGTCCAGGCCCTAAAGGAATCTGGTTCTCCAACTCAGCTAGTCTAGTTTTAGGATTGCAGTCACTCCAGATCTCCTTAGAGATTTCCCCAAAGCAAAATTCCCAAAGCCTGTTTGTACCCTGATCCTTCTCCCTGAGGGTAGGAGTGAGGACCTCTGCGGGCCCCCGCACCCCTTTGCCAGTGGTAGCTGGATCCAGCTGGGTTTGTCTAGCAATGTGGCCCTCAGGCAATAACCCATGGCTCTGCGGCTCCTTCCCATAGCTTTTACCAAGGGAATGGAGGTTTTCTTCAAAGTTTACCCCTGAGTTCAGGAACCACCTTCTCTTGCTTGAGTTCATAGGTATTAGTTTCAACTAAACCAGGAAGAATGCCCCAGCTTGCTAAGCACTCACTCCTCTGAACTTCAACCCAACTTGACTCTAGCTCCCGCCCTCCTAAGACCAGAGTCATTGCCTTTTTTTGTAGTCCTTTCTTCCGAGTTTGTTTTGTATTTTATTTGAATTCCAAGTGAACAAAAATAACAACAAAAATAAGGCCACCTAACCCAAAGTGAAAGAACTTAATTATTTCATTTTTAAATAACAGCATCTCTGATCATTGAATTCTAGGGGTTTTGGTTAAACAAGGAGAAAAGCTGGGGGAAGAGGTTTTCTTCCTGACCCTGGACCAAACATAATGACAGCAAGGGGCCGATAGGGGTTATGGGGACAGACTTGGAGATGCTGGCAGAGTTGGGGAGGCAAAAGTGAAGGAAACAGAAGGGAGAGGAGGAAGAGAGGCTCCTCAGGTCAGGCTGGGCTATAGCCATAGCCTGCTCCACAAAGCCAGCCTTTAGTCCCCCTTCCGGGTATCTGGCTACTGGCTCTGAGAGTCCCTGGCACCCTATACTTACTGCTTCTCTTTGTTTTCCTCGGCAGCATCTGAAATGGGGAGTTGTCCTCTTCTGTGGGGTCCCCTTCTGTGGGGACCTGCTGGGGTGGGACTACAAGTCTCCCTTGATATAACCGTGTGTGTCAGTCAGACTTGCTCCTCTGGCTCTCTGTAGTGCTAAGCAGGCCTTGTGTCTGTCTTCCTCGCAGAAGGCCGAGAGTGTGTCAACTGTGGGGCCACAGCCACTCCTCTCTGGCGGCGTGATGGCACCGGCCACTACCTGTGCAATGCGTGCGGGCTCTACCACAAGATGAACGGACAGAACCGACCCCTCATCAAGCCTAAACGGAGGCTGGTAGGAATGAGCACATCGTGGGGCAGGGCAGGGCTGGGCAGGCCCATAGTGGCCACCAACCTTGGGTAGAGCTGGTGGTTAGTAAGGGGAAGGAAAAAAAAAAAAAAGCAAACGAAAACAACCCAACAACAAAACTTCAAATGCAGAGACTCCACCACCTGAATGTCTCTTATCAGTGAAATCATTTGGGGGTCAGTCAGGTCGGTCTTCATTCTGGTGGATTCTTTCCTGCCGAATTTCCTGTCCTGCAGCCACCGGGCACCCCGCCCCCGCCCCCCACTGCTGAAGGATTCCCAGAACTCAGGGTCCAGCAGCCCACCCTCATGTTCTGGCCTTCGATTTACTCTTTTTAAAAATAGGGTCATGAAGTACTTTTCCCTGTGGCAGTTCCCCCACCCCACCCCCAGCTCACAGTCTCCTCCGCTTATTTAAATAACACACAGCAGCCACTAAAAAAACCTGCCCTTTATTATTTTTCCATGGAGTCACCTATACTGTGTATTTTCATTTGAGTGATTTTTTAAAAAAATGTCCTTTCGGATCTCCTGCCGGAGTTTCCTATCCGGACATCTGCAGCCGGTAGATAAGGAAACTTAGTGTATCTGTTTCCGGACCGGCAAGTTTTCAGAGCCACCTCGACTCAGTCCTGCCTCTCGCTGGGCTGTTTTGAAATTTCTAATACCCTCCACTCTGCAAATAATGTGTAAAATGCTAAGAATAATAAATATATTTTTTTTTCAGGGCGAAGTGATTTATGAGCTTAAATCGTTCACCCGCTTTGGGGCCCTTTTTCTTTTTCCCCCTGGAGCAGGGTGAGGGCGGGTGCGGGCTGGTGGGGGGTGGGAGGAGGATATACTGCTGGCCCCTGAGTCAGAATTCCAGCTTCAGGCTGCTTACTCACCCTCCCTGCCCCCGCAGCAGCCGGCTCTGGTCCCCTCCATGAGCAGACTCAGGCCTGGGGCCACTCAGGACTCCCGCTGGACTTGGCCCCCACCCCACACTGGCTGCCCAGTGGAGTCCAGTACCTAGGGTTGGGGTGGGGTGCTGGACACGATCACCACTCCATTTACCTAGGGCAGAGGGTGATCTGTATTCTAGGAAAAGGCTTTTCTCTCTGGACCTTGAGTTCCTTGTTCTAGAGACCAGACCTCCTCTCTTCCACTCCCCACCTCTGACTGGCATTTCCTGGGGGGCTGGGACTAGGGTCTGGTAAAGGCGGCAGGTGAGAACTCTTGGCCCTGGGATCTAGACCGGCAGGGAATAAGAATGTTCTCAGTCCTGTGTGGAACCCTCTGGCTAGTATGACTATTGATCGCTAGGAATGTGGTCAGTGCAGTCAAAGGAACTGAATGTTTAGTTTTTAAACTGTAGTTAAATTTAATTTAAATCTCTCATGGTGATTTGTATAGAACAAGGCGACTCCACACTTTAATCCTGGGCTCAAACTTCCCCAGGCCTTTCTGGGATCTCCTGAGCAGTGCAGGGTCTTGCTGCCATGGCCTCCTGGCCATGACTCACCAGGATTCTGGATTTCCAGGGGAATGGTGGGGGAGGAGGCATGCAACTGGAGACAGAGCCACAGGGCTAAACCGTCCTTGGGACCTCAGTTTCCTTACCTATGAAATTAGATTGCCAGGCAGTTGGGGGATGTGGCTGGTTTTCCCTTCTGTGTTTATAATCATTTGGATTCTAAGAGCTCTTTATTACAAAGTCCTGTGATTCCCAGCTAGTTTACTTCTCAAATTCTAAAATTCCTTGGTCTAAGATGCCTTGATTCCCCTGTGGGACCCACTGCTCCTGAGCTAAGTGATAAGACTGGGGGTGGTGCTAAGGGCCCTGGAGGAGGTCAAGGTGGGGCGTGGGAGAGGGTCCGCTGACGCTACCCCTCCCCTCCTAGTCTGCTGCCAGGAGAGCAGGCACCTGTTGTGCAAATTGTCAGACCACGACCACCACCTTATGGCGCCGGAACGCCAATGGGGACCCTGTGTGCAACGCCTGTGGCCTCTACTACAAACTGCACAATGTGAGTGCACCCCACCCCTCCCCAGGGACCTCAGCTCTTTGTGCAGCCAGCCGGCCAGCAGCCCCAGCCACAATCTCCAGCTTGGCTTGGCTTGGGAAGCCACAGCCGGCAGCCTGCTTAGCCAGTCCAGAACGCCAGAAGGGCTTCCTGTAAGAAGGGTCCCTCTGCTGTGGAGGTGGGACCTGCGGGAGCAGGGCTGGCAGGGAATTTGTACCTCTGTCTTAGGAAAAGGTGGAGGCCTGGGAGGATTAGAGGGTTCTGGAAACAATGTGGGCTGTTATACCATGCAATCTCCTTTCCTGAAAATGGTGACAGTGCCTAACACTTAAGGGAACTTTGGTGAGTGACACTGGAGGCTGGGCTGAAGGCACAATTCCTGGCACCCTGGGGATATATGTAACCCAGCCTCCCTTGACCTGTGGAGAAGGGGCCCATGGGTAGGGAACTTGTTCTAAAGGCTCCGTGGCTGCCCCCAGGTTAACAGGCCACTGACCATGAAGAAGGAAGGGATCCAGACCCGGAACCGGAAGATGTCCAGCAAGTCTAAGAAGAGCAAGAAAGGGGCTGAATGCTTTGAGGAGCTTTCCAAGTGTATGCAGGAGAAGTCATCCCCATTCAGTGCTGCTGCCCTGGCTGGACACATGGCACCCGTGGGCCACCTCCCACCCTTCAGCCACTCTGGACACATCCTGCCCACGCCAACGCCCATCCACCCCTCCTCCAGTCTCTCCTTCGGCCACCCCCACCCATCCAGCATGGTGACTGCCATGGGCTAGGCACAGCTTCCCACTGGACAGACATGGACATCAAGGGTGGCTGGCAGAGCCAGAGCGAGTCCGGGCACTCCCAGGATGGGTGGAACACACTTTTGGCTCCCGCCCATCCCAGGAGACCCACTTCCTCCTGCCAGCCTGGTCTGGCTGAAGCCACCTCTCCTTGGAGGACTCCCAGCCTTGTGCCGCCATTACTGTGAATGTTTCTAACTGGGCTACAGCTTGTGTGTGCCCTGGGTGCTGCCCAGAAAAGTTTTTTTGTTTTGTTTTGTTTTTTGTTTTTTCTTTTTCACAGACAGTTGCTTGGAGAGCAAAACAGACAGGTTTATAGCAAGAAATGGAGGAGACTGGGGGCAGAAAAATGAAACCATTTTTTTGAAGGTGAAAGGAGTAATATATAATTTATTTTGCTCTTATTTCATACAAGGACATGAATGACACAGAGGCATGGGCTGTTTGTGTTCTCTGGGTCCTTCCCTGGGGTCTACTGCCACCAGCCAGGGCTCTGGAAGGCAGACTTACAGGGTCTCAGCCTGAGCCTTCTCCCCAGCTGCCTGACGGGTAGGTAGCCCCTGCCCTGACGCAGCCCTAGAGGGCAGAGACAATCGCAGGCGGTCCTGCACAGATTCCCAGGCCAGGGCTGGGTCACAGGAAGGAAGCATTCTCTGGAAAGGGGAAATGTCTCCCAGATCATTCCCTTGGCTTTAAGAGGCCAAAGCTGGTGCAACCCAAATGGCCAAGCTGCGGCCTGTGCTGTAGGCCAGCTGGACCCCTGTAAATACATCATTTTTCTGCTAACCCCTCGGCCCCTCCCACTCTAAGATAAATAAGAGAATATTCAAAACCAAACCCAAACTGCATAAGCTTAACTCACTGATGAGTGGTTTTATTTTTAAACTCATTTTGGATCCAGTCAATTGTACGTTGCCACAGAAGCCCCACTGTGGAAAGGAATAAAACCTGCAAACCAAGGCTGAGATTCATGGTTCTTTCTTGAATGGTTCTTGGATCCCAGGTCCTGAGCAGGAGGCTGGGGACAAGGGAGATCTTTTGCTCTTGGTTGCTGGGGGATGGGGCAGGGAGGCAGTGGCCCTGTGATCTCTGGGGTATTCTGTTCTGTTGTGGCTGGCTGGATCCTTCAAGGTACAGCTGTACATAAAATGTGTTCCAAGCTTCGATTCTGTGTGCGGTGTTGGTGTTGGTGGTAGTGCAACAGCTGGCAAGGGGCCTCTAGCCCAAGAAGACAATTGTGCTGACAAGTCAACTACGTGCAATATTGGCGTCCAGTTGCTGTAGAGCACCATAACCAGAAGTAACTTATTTTGTGCTAGTACCTGCACAAAGAAAAAGAATCGGCAGTATTTTCTGTTTTTATGTTTTCGGCTTGTTTTATTTTGAATTAGTGACCTAAGTTATTGTTAACTATGTACAACATTTAAATATTGTGTAAAAATTGTATGCTACCCTCCTATTCCTTTAAAGTGAATACTGTTAAAAATAATAAAATACTTTTTGTGAATGTTGCAGCCTGTCAAGTGGGTCCCTGGGACTCCACATCCCTGGTGTGGTTTGAGCTGTCAGGTAGCCTTGTTTCTGCTATGTCTTTCAGAAAAGGCCCATTTGGCTAAAGCCTCCTCCCTAGGGCACAGGGGAAGGTATGTGGAGATGGACAGGGCTCTTCTCCAGCATCCTTTTCTGAGAGCCCAGCAAGGTGCCTGTTGGGGCTTTTCAAAGAGTCAACAACTTCCCTGGCACCACTCAGGTCCCCCCAGTTGTGGTAAGCTCTAGTTTCTAGGGTACCAACTTGCTAGATCTGTTCATTGACAAATTTGATTATCCTGTCACTGATTGCTGTCTCTAACAAATGATCCATGGCAGCTGCCATTACCAATATTCCTGACCATTACGTCTGCCGTCATGTCCTTAGAGAGTGACTGCTAACCAATCACCAGTATGTTATCATTGCATCTGGTCCGTAATGTGTCCAGTCACAGGCCTGCACAAAAGTCATCTCTGACAGTGATCTTGGCAATTATCAATAATCAAAGTTCCCCTTGGTCAATGTGTGGATCCCAGATGCAGACAGTCACTGGTGTCCTGGGCCACCAATGGTGTCACTAGGGATTTTTCTTTTGGGGGTATAAGTTGTGGGGTCTCTATGTTGCTCAGGCTGGCCTCAAACACCTAAGTACTATGGATCTTCCTACCTTCCCTCTTGAGAAGCTGACAAGCTTCTTGCCTCTCATTACCTAACTGTCCACATGCCTACACCCTCTTACTGCCACATCTTCTCTGATGCTGTCCTGAGCTCTGGTACTGATGCCCCTAAGGGTTCACTTCTAGTCACCAAGATCCTGTTGCCAGTGTCAAAGTCCAATCCTAGCTCCCCCATCCCCCCAAATCCCTTATACCCTACACTCCTGAATCAGACTGCTGGGTCATCACACACAACAGAAGGCCAGACACCAGCATCTCATCCTAAGTGCCACCGCCCATCAGGGTGTAGTGAGGTATCTCTGGGGCTTTGGCCTCAGGATGCCACCACTACCCTGTTCTCATCCTTTCCTGGAGAATAGACACCTGGGTCAGGCAGGAGCCAAACTGAAACTTAATTGGACTGATGTGCCTACTCCTGGGTACACTGTGGCCATGGCACCACAGGACCACCACACTGGCCTTCTAGCCCGCTAGCTGCAGCCTCAGTGAACGCAGCAGCAGCAGCTTTCTGCCTTGTCCCAAGCTTTCAGCTACAAGGTTGTGTGTTTGATAACAGATGGACCTGAGAGCAGGTATGCATGCACATGTGTGTGGTGTGGTATGGTGTGTGTGTGTGTGTGTGTGTGTGTGTGTGTGTGTGTGTGTGCCATTAGCAACCCCCTTTTGCCACATACTGTTATAGGCATAGGAAGCCTCATCAGTGAGAACAAATAGGAACCACTTAAGGATGCAATGTTCCAGGTGTGAGGAAAAAATATACTTCTTGGCTCAGGGCAAATTTGTTTGGCCTGAAGTTCAGAATGGACAGTCTCGATCTGTGGGTTTCGACTCTTGGGGACTGGGCAACACTTTCACAGGGGTCACATATCAGATATTTACATTATGATTCATAACAATAGCAAAATTACTTATGAAGTAGCAACAAAATACTTTTATGGTTGGGAGCCACCACAACATGAGGAACTGCATTAAAGGGTTATGGCATTTGGAAGGCTGAGAACCCCTGGTCTAGAACCTGTAGTTTAAGCCCAAGAATCAGAACACACAGTCTGGACTCAAAAAATACAGGATCTATAGCTCAAATACAGAGTCTACAGCCTGGACACTCACATACAAACTGAAGAGCGCAGCGCATGGGCAGACCCTCAAACCCAGGACCACAGAGTCCAGAGCCAGGTTCCTTAAATTCAGAGCCTTCCTGAGCTCAGAACCTAGAACCCAGCTAGAACCCTGAAATAGGGCCTGCAGCCCAGCTGTCAGAATCCAGACCCTGGCACATGAGGCCTAGAACCTGGAATCTGGAACGTGGGAATGTGAAACTCACACATCCTAGACCTAGAGCTTTTCACAGGACCAGGATCCAAGCCCAGAAGGCGGAGTAAGCTTACAAAAGGCCATGATGCCCTGGATTCTTTCCTTTCTTCTGTTAGCCCCAGACTTTGGTACATCCATTCCAGGCACAGTCTTAGGTGCTGAGAGGCAGGCCAGGAGGAAGCCAGCAGCTGAGCGGCTTCTCTCTATGTGCATTCAATGCAATGCCTTCTTGGGATAGGTGGTCCCCTAATGGCTGTTGAACAGGGTGGATTCTCCATGCACAAATGGGAGAAAATGGTGGTATGAGAGGCTAGGGACCACAGGGTCACAGCTTAAGCAATCCCCTCCTCCAAACAACGATTTAGCCCCTCATACTCCCACCACTCAGCCATTACCCGGTAAACAATTGGGATTTTGTGGACAAAAGCACTCAGACAGACCAGGAGCCACAAGCCTTGAGCAGGGTGACCACTGTCTTTATGATCCCATAGGGCCAGGCGCCAGGGCAACCAGGGTGGGGTGGGCCTTTGTTCCATCTGTTTGCACCCAGGTGGTGCTGGCCAACCCAGACCCTTCCTCCCTTCCTCTTCTGGGACACTTCCAAACCTAGCTTCTTTCTCCCATTTTCCATGGTAGAAAACAAACCTCTTGTGTGACCTTTAGGGACCAGCCTTGTCCTTCACAGTCCCTCCTGCCTCCTGGTGACCTATTACCAGGAGAGGGAAGGGAGCGAGTCTTGCTGATCAATCCTAGGGCCTCAGAAGTGAATACAGCCCCAAGGAGAATGTTGGGAGGAATGTGTGTTATCCACCACAGGATGGAACAAGCTCACCCGAGGCAGGGAAGATGGCCGACACCATGGAGCCATTCCCAAGGTGGGCGGATCCTCAATGAGTTTATGAGGCAAAACAATTTGATTATTTTAAAAGACAATTTTAAAAAATTCCAAACTTCATCCGGAAAAACAGGCAAGTCAACAGAGTCAATCTGAAGCTTAGGAAAAAACGGAATGTGTGCATGGGGAGGGGATTGTATATGGACACATGAGTGAAACGTTCAAGATTCCACTGCCATGACTGCTCCAGTCTCTGCCTTCCCTGTGAGGAAGAACAGATGCACAGGGACCCAGGTGAGCCTAAAATCACACCATGACTTACAAGGCAGTATGTGGTGCAGGCAGCACCCCAAATCTGTGCAAAGAGGTTCTCAGTGACCAATGATGAACTTCAGGCTTAAAAACAGCCCCCCAACATGAGCTATTTGGGAATAATTTCAAATCAGGAGTCACATGAAAACACCCAGGGTCTGATCCATTTCCAGCTGTCTCTCAGTGAAGAACAGCCACTCTAACCCCAGCACCCAGACCCCATCTCCACTAGGTCCCCAGGTCCTGTGTCTACCTGAATCTTGGGGACATTGAAACTTGGCAATATCACATATATCATGTGAGATTTTTAAAAATTGGATCTTTTTCTTGTATTTTACAATGTTGGGGGTGGAATTCAAGTCCTCAAGTGCCAGGCAAGCCACACCCCAGTCCTAAAGATCTAATCTTGAGGCCAACTATTACAACCCACCCAGCTGGATCACCCAGTTTGGTTCTCTCCAGATAAACTGTCAGCAGGACACTGGAAACAAATATAAAGGTTTATAAAGGTTTTTTCTACATTAAAGCATGGAAGCAGTTGTTCCAAGATGCAAACACTCCGTGGCTGTCCAGATATTTTCAAGATAGTTTTGATAAACCTGAGAGCATGCACAAAAAAAAAAAAAAAAAAAAAAAAGAAAGAAAGAAAGAAAGAAAAGAAAAGAAAAGAAACAAAATCCAAACAATCCTGACAACAACAGAATTTATTTTTTGGGTTTGTTGTTGTTGTTGTTGTTGTTGTTGGGTTTTTTTTTGTTTGTTTGTTTTTGGGTTTTTTTTGTTGTTGTTGTTGTTTTTTGTTTTGTTCGTTTGTTTGAGACAGGGTTTCCCTATTGCTTTGGGACCTGTCCTGGAACTAGCTCTGTTGACCAGGCTGGCCTCAAACTCGTAAAGCTCCTCCTGCCTCTGCCTCCCAAGTGCTGGGATTAAAGGCTTGCACCACCAACGAACACCTGGCTGTTTTTTGTTTCTTTTTTTTTTTTCTTTTTAAGAAAAAGTTTGGGGGTACTGAAGACATCATGGTTAAGAGCACTTGATACTGTTACAGAGGCTTGAGGTTCCATTCCCAGCATCACAACATGGTGGCTCACAGTTTTCTGTACCCCAGTCCCAGGAGGTCTAGCCTCATCAGGCACTATAATATGTGAACATATATATGCTCAAACCATGTATAAAAATATTTTGGAGGCTAGAGAGATGACTCAGCACATGGCAGCTCACAACTGTCTAACTCCAGTTCCAGAGGATCTGGCATCCTCACACAGACAGATTCGCAGGCAAAACACCAATGCATGTGAAATGAAAATATTTTTTTTAATTTTAAAATTAAATATCGATAAAAAGTAGGGGAATGGTGAGAGTAGACACCCCAAATGAAAGAAAGCAGAGACTCAGGCCATGTCTGAGTACCACATTTACAGTAGCACTACACTATTGCCAAGAAGTGGCAGCTACCCAGGGATCCTTCAAAAGACGGGGCAATAAGCTAAAGTTGTCCAAATCAAACAATGGTGGTCACTCAGCTTTCAGAAGTAGGCAATGCTAACACATACTACTGCATGGACACTACGCTTAGAAAAATAAACCAGCCACAGGACAGTGTGGTGGCCGCACAAGCCTGAGGCCTCCAGAGCCAAGAGTTCACATAGAGACAGAACAACATGGGGGCACGAGCAGCTGTGCAAGAGGGCGAGGGTTGGAAGGGGAGCTTTGGTAGGGGAAGATAAGAACACTCTGAAGACTTGGGGTTTGCTGTTCTTGATTTAGATTGGGGTCTCGTGTAGTCCAGGATGGCCTTGGAATTCCTGCTCCACCTGGGAAGTTCTGGACCTGGCACTGTA